CTGGGAGCAGCGGCTTCAGGTTCACAAGGGCGAATGAGAGGGGGGTTGTCAGGAAAATCTACGCGGCGTGTATTAGTTCACACTCACTTAGATGGGTGGTGGATGCAGTCAGACGTACCTGGGTTGTGACATCGAAAGGTCCAAAATGGATAGGACCCTTGGGTCGTTTGGATGCATGATTGCTACTCATTATGCTGCTGCTGTGATAGGGTTGCCACGTGGACTTGAATGCGAGTCTTGAAATCAAAGGTCTTACGCTTCTTGTTATTATCATGATGTGATTTCCGGAATTGATGTTCCTAGGTACCTCTGTAAGGGCTACGATGAGGCAGCATTGCTTCTACTGTGTAATATCTGCTTCTAAGATCGTCCATTTACTTGTGATTTATAGGTTTTGATTGGCTTAAAGTTATAGAACCCGTTCTGTAAAGCTACCTTAAGTACCTAAGGTACCTACCTAAGCACATGCGGTATCTGCATACCTACATGCAAGTGCCTACTCAAGAATACCTACCGGAATACATCTCTGTCCTTCACATCACCTAAACTTTTAACCCCCATATAGGTTCTCTATAAAAATCATACTCGAGAAAGATACGTGAGGGCTTAGTACATAATATGCCTACTTCACGATTGAGGAGTATTTTCTTCGCAGGTCCTCCGTTCGTGTTACAAGCGAGCTCTACTGGTTTCTGACGATGACGTACTAGTATGACATCAATATTTTGCCCCTAAAGAACAGAACAAAGGACAATCCCACAATTCCGGTCTAACCAATCACGAATTAGTAGATCTAGGTACTGAAATTGAATTTACTATGTTACACGCTCATAGAAGAAGGCGTCTAAATATTATAAATATCCTTTATGCTCGGGTCTAACTACCTAACCGTACCTCCGACACAAGTTGGCACTGTACCGAGTCCGCCTCAGTTCGGTCCATGGGCGTTATGCACGTTCCGACAACTATACATACGACGGAGTTTTAGTACAAAAAAAATACTTTAGTGATTAACCTTGTAGCTTATGATTAAGGCAGATCAGCTATGCTTAAGAACCTTATCAATCTAGAGTCAGCTTCTCAAATTTTACGTTTATAATAAATATTGAGACATATTTCTGTCTGTAAATCGTTACAATCAAGTGCTTCTAAGATGTAGGTACTTTGGTAGGTACTTACCTCTTCCCACCTATGTAATTAGTCAGTAAATGTATGCACATAATGAAATGAAATATTACAAGCCGGGACAATGATCGGTGCCTGCATGTATGCCACCACCAGCACCTGAGCCACCTGAGGCAGTTTCACTTCTTTTACCTGCGATGGGGCATGTAAGATGAGGCTCTGACTCATATCGCGTGTCAACTGATATGAAATCATGATTGCAACCGACAATACAGCATCCACGGGTCTATAAATTCACGCGTAATATGGCAGAGTCGCCTCAAGACAACACAACGACGGGGATGCGAGCAGATGAGACCGTTACTACGCCCAGCACTAACTCCGCACAGCCGGCGCATATTCGGAGCTGTGTCTTATGTAGGCAACGCAAGGTCAAATGTGATCGGCGTCAACCGTGTTCCAACTGCGTGCGGTCCGGAGCAAACTGCGTCCACCCGCCGTGAGTATATCTCGGGGCTATTTTCTTCCCGTTTTGGCGATTTTTGGAGCTGAGACTTTCCTTTTTGGTGAAAGCCGTGTCTAGAAACTTCGAAAATCCTCACAAATAATGCTCTAGATGGCAATAACTAACTCCGAGTTCTCTAGCGGTGCGGGCAGAGCAGCTAAGCGGCCACGTCAAGCAGCGGATGCTAAAGTACTTGATCGGCTTTCCCAGTTGGAGACAACAATCAGGCGCCTCCAGCAGCAAGCGAAAGGCCGTGAGGCCGAGTCTTATACAACTTCCGGGTCCGTGCCAGCCCATGAGAGTAGCGACGCGGTTGACGATACGGAACAAGGGACTGGACTGACCCCAGAGCTCGGCCGCCTTGTTGTCGAGGAGTCTCAAAGCCGTTATGTCAGCAATGTTATGTGGGCAGATCTGACCGAGTCGGTTAGTATTCTAGGTCCTACCTCTGTATATGAGGGTTTGAAGCTGATATCATAAAGATCGAACAATTGCGTGGAATGTTTCTTGAAACCAACTCAAGAGACGATGATTCTAACCAACTTGAGGACAGCCCTCCGTTCTTGGACGCAGACTCCCCTAATCTAGTATCCTCGGGTCCAAACGCAGCCGTCCTAGGGTTCCGTTCCCTTGCTCATTCCCTACGGGATTTTCATCCTTCCGTCGAGCTATCTATGAGGCTATTTCAACTGTTCAATGAAAATGTGTTGCCGATAGTACGCATATTTCATACGCCAAGCTTAATACGTCTATTCTGGAGTGCCGTTGTTTCGCCAGACTCACTGGACAAAGAAACAGAGGCACTCCTATTTGCCATCTACTACTCAACCGTCATTAGCATAGACCCGACTCAGTGCGCCGATATTGTAGGAGCACCGCGATCCACTGTTGTCGAGCGATACAAGTTTGCGGCGGAGCAGGCACTTGCACGAGCCAACTTTCTTAATACCCACAGCACCCTGCTTTTACAGGCAGCTGTACTATACATCTCGGGATTACGGTCTGATGATGGGACACGAACGGTATGGTCCCTCATTGCGCTAGCATCCCACGTAGCACGCTCAATGGGTTTCCACCGAGATGGAACGGCATTCAATCTTCCACCCTTTGAAACAGAAATGCGCCGTCGCATATGGCATCATATCTGTTTGCTTGACCACCGGTCTACAGAATATCACGGTTACGAGCCGACAGTCACCGATGAGACGGACTCTGATACTCGCTGGCCTCTCAACGTAAACGATTCCGACATCTCTCCTGACATGGTAGAACTACCACATGAACGGGATGGTGCTACCGAGATGCTCCTAGTCCAGGTTCGATGCCATGCACTGCGAATCAGCCGGCGGATGGCAAGGTAAGATACCTAAATGACCTCATCGATAAAACCATTTCACATCAATCCATTTTTAGCGTTTAGATATAACCATGCTAATTTCGTACGCAGAGCAAGTCGTTCCCCATTTCAGGCTCGCGTCCAGCTTCTTGACGAGCACGACAAATTTGTCGAGAAGTATGTAACATGCTGCGATCTAGCCCAGCCGCTACAGTCTCTAGCAAGCCAAATTTCCTATATAGCCGCAAAGCGAGTTCGAGTAGTCGCATACTATGTTGAACTAGTATCTCGAAAGCGAAAGGGGGAAGCCAGCAGCCCTCGGACTAGCAATTCTGATAAGGGAACAGTCGAACCAGATAACAACACCTTGCGGGAGCTAATTTTTATCAATTCAATTGAAATACTTAAAAGAACATGTGATATAATGAACGACCCACGTCTTGAACGCTGGACCTGGCATTGTAAGCATTCCCTAAGCTTATCTTCTTTCCGCTTTGGCCCTTTTCCAAGGGTAAACTCTCGCTATTTAGACTAAACCAACATTACAAGAACCCGTACAAGAATTATCTTAGCTTCTAAGATGTTCGTATATGATGTTTAGAATAGTAATAGCTAATTTCGACGATAGCACACACATATATTCAGTGGCACACAATAGCCGTTGTTTTGTCGGAGATCTGTATCCGACCACCATCTATACAATGTGATGAGGCGTGGGGATACACAACCGCCGTCTACGACAAGTGGCTGCGTGTTAAATTTCGGGATAGCACAGAACAGGGGGATGACTTCGTCAAACCTAGTAGGCATTCCTAACTCTTTTAGTTTCAGCAAATATTCTTTTCTCCTACATGCCCTCAGGCCCCTTCAATGGTCAACCAATTCCCTTTTATTAGTGGCAATTTCTCACATCTGAATTCTTGCAGTGGGTCGGCTCATCGCGAGAGCCAAGCGCGTGCGAGATATGCAGCAAGCAGAACAGCACCAGCAACCACATGGCCAGACACAAACGCAAATATTAAAACCTGATATCAGCGAGTGGATAATGTCAGGGCAGCAACCATTATACGATACGCCTACTAGCCAGACATCACTTGATTTTGACGGTATAGATTCAATACACATGAACACCGGGCCTCGTCAAGGCATTAACTCCACAACTGCGACGACGGCCCCCGTGGGCTTTTCACGCACTGGGCCGGCTATGTATAGTATCAGCGATTTCGATCCCTTCTTGGAGATGCTCCCCAACGAGATACAAAATGATTTGTTCGAGTCAATAGCACGAAGCACCGTGGAGTCCTCTTGTAGTTACTCCGCTGATGTGATTTCCACGAAGCCTTTCCCCGAATTCCCATAGTTTCATGGCTTTCCATCGAAATTACTAGCACGGAGGCACGTGCTTATCTAGAGCGCAATTATAGCTCAGTGAGTGATAGCCGGAACGACTTCATATAGCTTTCACTTTGGACTAGAACACATGTTCTTGTAACGATTATCACAATATTATAATAATACTGAAAGGGAATGATCAAGTGTACTACAACGATATGGCATAGCGAGGGCTCGATTTAATCTAGATGTGTATATACCTGGATAACTACGCAGGGGCATATTAGAGCTACCGCAGGAAAATCGCAGCTCATCCCAGGGGCTCTGACCTCTGGCCCTCCCAGGCCAATATAAGTTTACACATTTATTGCTAGAGTAGAATTTGTTCTTTCCATTTTCTTGCTTAGGTGATTTAGCTTCAATACCAAAACCATCAGTTCTCGGCGGTCTACCAAAAGGCACCTGCGCAGGTAGTCCCAACCAACCCGCCATGCTACATATATCACATTGTCGTAGCTGCCAAATAGACGCCCGTATGCCTACCCGGGCGGGCCTAAACTACTGATAACATCGCCACCTTCGTTCTTTCCATACAGCCTACCTAGGAAGGAAGTACGCACCCAACGCACCTTCCTACCATACCCCTACGTACCTAACATCCCCCCTCAAGCATTTAACGCGCTTTCTTAGGTTATATTGCTAACCGAATTGGTGTAGGGGTTAACATGTGGGATTCTCAGTCTTAATGATGAAGTTTCCCGAGCCAGGAGTTCGAGTCTCCTATTCGGTGTCTTTTTTTCACTTCCTTCCCCCTCCCCCGGGCCCTTGAACCTTCTATATCCCCCCCTTGCGATTGTCCAGGTAATTCTAAGATACATTATAAGCATTCAAGTAATACTTCTCTCAAAGATACAAGACAAGAGCTCAATTAGACATCTTTCTATCTCGTTCTATCTCTTGCTAGCCCAGGGGCCCATACGTTCGAAACCTGGTGGCAAGCTGTCTTACTACAACGTAATCATGATAGATTATGAGACCACGTGCTACACTCGAAAGCTTTAAGTCATATATCTACTGCTACAGCATTAGATTATTTAGCTGCCAGCATACTCTTTTAATTTCATGCTAAGTTGCAGTAGTAGTGATACACCGACTCAACTGGCGAAAGCCGCAAATTTGTCAAGTAATGTATCCAATATTACACAGACCCGGAATAAGAGGACGAGAGAATCCAGCAGAGTAGCTCATAATACCTCGTGCTGTGACAGATTGAAATAACTTTGAGCTACGAGTCTATGCAATAGATAGGATATCATCTCGACTCCAGGCTCCTCCAATCTACGTGTTCGTGTCGATCTAACTTAAGTGCACTAGAAGTCTGGACTCAAAGAGAGGCACTTGAGGAAGATGGTCATGTGATGTTTAGCTGTACAAAGTTGATACTGACGAAATGCTCTGAGCTCAAGGATATATTTTTCACTTAAACCAACTTGAATGTTTTAGAACTCTATATGGGCACGTCCCCTTCATGAACGTTGTTAGAAACTCTCACACGCGAGGCCTTAAGAACCAACGCCCATATCTGGGAAATTTACAGTGCCTAGGCTGCTTAGTGGCGGACAATAGGGTCTATGCAGTCTTGTTCTAGTCGACTTGGCCACATGTAAGCAAGGGCGAAGGGACAAGGACTCAAAAGAAGCACGGAAAATTGAGCAGATCGTATTGTGCGTACAGCGCATTTCCCCAATTAGTTTCACGGGCTTGCCAAAATACGGGAACATTTATTAGCAGTTTATGATTGTCGTTAACTATCATCAAATACATCGTCTTACATGAGTATATTCGATATCTTGGCGCGGGGCCTCCATACACGGTATGATTAACTGCTGCTTACTGTGATATGGCTTCTAGCACGTACCCTGTACCCTCCCTTGTAAACTTCATCTTCACATGCCATGCAAAAAATGGACTCGGACGAGGAGAACGAGCTTCCGGAATGGGCGGATGAGCCGACGATTTATGATGATGCTACCGCGCCTGCCGACGGATATGTCGACCGGCAAGGTCAATTCATGTTTAATTCAAATCAAACGAACGAGTTTGAGCTAGATCATGCTGAGCGGCGTTTGCATAGGCCCTGTCCTGGATGTGGAAGATTCCCGCTAGGAGACCAGACTCCAAAGGAAGTCTACAGTTGTCAGCAACGAGAGCGGTGGGAACAGTTTCACTGCCTAGCCTGCTATGCGATTTGGCAATGTTCACTTATCGTGAAAAGAGATGTTGTCCGCGTATCTGGCGACGTGATATGGTTCGACGGGACGGAAACAGATGTAGGATTGAATATTCGGTTGTACAATGAGATTGGTTAGTTAGAAAGCCTCAAAAGCGCTGGGCTTTACTATTTTTCCTATAAAAAATGACAACTCATTAACACTCGAATTGTAGGAAATAAACACGATATTGTTAGCCAGTTTGGCTTTGCGAGGCACATCGCGCCACGCACAGATTCTGATGAGTGCTTGAAACTTGCGAGAGAATGGCTTATGTCTTGTATGCAGACACATCCATCTTGTCGGCCGGGGAAAGGGGCGAGTGATCTTCCGACACGCATAATTGATGTTTCATCTCCGGAACCGCAGCTTGCACATTCCGCCTCGTTACCAGTCGTCTCATATGCGGCCTTGAGTCACTGCTGGGGTTCAATCCAGCCCCTTCGAACGCTCCGGTGTAATATAGAGAGCCACGTAAAAGGAATAAGGGTAGCATCCATGCCGAAGACCTTTCAGGATGCTATTCGCGTTACTAGGTATCTAGGTATTCGTTATCTATGGATCGACTCCCTATGTATCATTCAAGACGACGATGAAGATTGGGGTAGAGAAGCCGCCAAGATGGCAGCATATTATACGGGAGCTGAGGTCGTTCTCGCGGCCTCGTCATCCCAAGGGAGCTCGGAAGGGTTCTTGAGCCCTCGGAAAGAGTCTATCAAGGGCACCCTGCTGATCAAAGATGGGCATGGCATATCTGGCAAGACGATACCGCTTCACTTCCGGGAATCCACGGTTGGAGATAGCGGGAGTATCCCACGGCAGATAGGTTATCGGACTGACGCCCTATCGAGCCGCGGCTGGTGCTTTCAGGAGAGGCTATTGGCTAGGCGATTATTGTCATTTGACAGTGAGCAACTGATTTGGGAATGCAACTCCGCCTGCCGCTGCGAAGGCTCGGATATATCAAATCCAGACGTGGGACTCAGTCCCGATAATAATGGGGACTTCTACGACCATGACTACAATATGTTAGCCCGCCTTTCCGGTGCCTCTAAATCAGATATTCATGAATTCTGGAGGATCAAGGTCATCCAACACTATGCGTCCAGAAACCTTACGAGGGAATCTGACAGGCTCGTAGCAATCCAGGGTATCGCCGATGTGCTGAAGGAACGTCTCAACGAGGACTATATATATGGCCTCTGGGAATGCGATATTCTTGAGGGGCTGACTTGGTCGACACAGGCCGCACATTCGGTTGGTATTCCACTCGACGTCGCTCCGACCTGGAGCTGGGCATCCGTATATGGTCGTGTTAGTTATTCGACTTGGCCTGCAAGGAGTTGGGCCGTCGAGATAATAGGGCTTACTCCTCTCCATGATTCCCAACTAAGGCTACATGATAGCAGGCCTAGATTAACAATTCAGTTGCGTAGTCAACTTCTTGTTGCCCATACGAGGTTAGTCGATAGCACTAATCCCATGAGACTTGTTCTCGAGCAGAGAGGTGGGCTCCCAGTAGTCGAGGCCTACCTAGATACTGCTTGGGAGGCCGTTTTGGTCGAGGATCTGTCTGGTCGGGTTGTTGAAACAGCAAATAGGGCTGCCGTCAAACCTCAACCAACAAGCCGAATGACATACTCGATGCCTACCCAAGACATTAGAGCCCCCATTCAAGTCTGGCTTCTTCATCTCTTCAGAAACAAGCAGCAACGGTACACCATGTTCTTGGTTCTTGGGCTGTTAAAAGGGAGGGAGGGGTGTTTTGAACGGATTGGTGCGGCGTCAGCTACCCCCAAGACAGCTAGTGAGAATGCCATATTCGAGGATTTTCTCGAGAAGCAACCAGTAGCTACAGTTTCTATTGTTTAACATTGTGTTTCCCACAAAGTACCTTCTCTATATCGAATTTCATGGTTACCTGATGCCAATTAAGCATTGTTTGCCCTGTAGGTAGGAGCCTACTAGAGCTGAATACATACAACTCAATAGTAGGAGAGGTGATTTTGGCATAGATATCTTCATCTCACTACCTAGGTAGATAAAAGTTGGACATAGTTGACATAACTATAAAGATTGTATGTTGGTGAAGAAAGACTGAACAAAGGCAGTAGCACGTGTAGCTGGGTAAAGCACTGTGTACGAGGTGAAGAATGCTGTTCGATTGGTTGCTGACACAATTGTCCAACGTGGCGTCTCAGCTACTTATCACAAACCTTTGTGTGGGAGATGGTTCCCAAATGTGTTACTTACATCTAATTGCGCTGGATACCTATATTGCGATAGCAGTCTATATAATATAATGCACGTCTTGATTTACTATGAGCTACCTACCTAAAGTATATATCGCATCTGGATACCTGGGTAGGTACTTAGCTAGACCGCTTTTAGTGGCCCACAAGGGTCCTTGCCGCCCAACACCTAGCCCAAATACAGTACAATCGGACGGCTCATTCACAGTGCAGTCACACAAGTAACTGCAACATTGTTTATTGATCCATCCATCCTTTGAGTATTGGATTCATAGGTAGGTTCATAGAAGGGACACATTTTTCATATTAGGTAGGTAGAAGATATATCTAGACCTACCTACCTAAGGTAGCTACCAACATACATCGCAATATATTGATGTAGGTACCGTTTGCCTGTTTGCCCCGCGGTACATGTACAGCATGCCCGCACTCACCCAGCTCCGTGGACCGAGACTAAACACCCTTCTACAACGTCGAGATTAGAATTAAGGTGTCCTACCTCGGCTTCTTTCTCCCAACTTACTCAACTGGCGTCCTACCTGGGTTGTTATAGCTAGTTTTATCCTTATCACAAAAGATCCCCGCCTATTATTCATCTCTACTCAGCTCGACTAGACATACACTATTAAGGCAGCAGAGAGCACCTGTAATAACCCATATCCCATTGCCCGTTTTTTTAATCCCCTGTCATTCTTGCTGAGAATTAGCAAAGGCAGCTGACCTTTGGCTGACCTACTATATAGCTTCCTTTCTAGTTCTCTCCATCTAGGTCCACGGCCGCTGGCTCGCCATCAACGCCTTCTCCCCTCCGTCTACCTCTTCGAGCGAACAAGCGACCGAATTGCTAGCCGCTACATACCCCGCTACTTGTTGTCCACGAATATCAGCCCAAGATGGACGACGAAAGTATCAGCTATTTTATGATGGTGACGGAGGTGGCCTCCCCAGATGTTGCACGCGCGTATCTTCAAATATCGGGCGGGGATACAAGCACGGCCATACAGACATTCTACGACCACCCAGAATTACAGGCGAGCTTTGCAGCCGCTCAATCTACACCAACTGCTTCTTCACAACAGCAAGAGCCTTCATCTCGCGCTAGAAGCAGCCGCCCCATAGGCCGTGAAGATTCTCACGGCATTGTACATATTGATTCTGATTCGGATAACGATGAGGACGACGTTGTCATGGCCGACGATGATGGCGATAATGAAAATGTTGCCGCCATAGCCAGAGGTATACAGGAAGACGAGGATGCCGCCATGGCG